TAGTCCGGTGTGGTGGCACGCGCCTGTAGTCCCAGCTACTTGGTAGGCTGAGGCAGGAGAATCGCCTAAACCTGGGCGGCAGAGGTTGCAGTGAGCTGAGATAGCGCCACTGCACTCCAGCCCGGGCGACAGTACGAGACTCAGTCTCACACACAAAAAAAATTAGATAGGTAGACAGACAGATAGATAGATAGGCCAGGCTCAGTGGCTCACACCTATAATCTCAGCACTTTGGGAGGCCGAGGTGGGTGGCTGCCATATTGCACTTCACAGGGTAATACCATGGAGATGACAATGACACGGTGGAGACTGGGGTAAAGTGAAATGAGGGAACACTTGCTGAGAGGTTAAAAAAAAAAAAAATAAGGGGCACCAAAAGACTCAGCAATCCAGATAAATGTCTTGATTATCTTATCATCGAGATAAGATATATTGCATTGAACTATTATTTATTTTGATTACTGAAGGGTTCTGGAGGAGCACCCCCTGAAATTCGAACCTAGAGGACTGGCCTCACCCTAATCCTGGACGTGGCTAACAATGATGCCCACCTCTTAGGGCTGTTGAGTGAATTAAATGAGATAATGCACGTAGAGCCCTTGGACCCGAGGCTGGCACTGGGAAAGTCACAGTTTATATTTTTTGACCTGGTTGTTCACCAAGCAGTCCCTGCCATCCCGCTTTCCGTCCTGCAGGGGGAGCATGACTGACTGAGTGTCACTATCGGATCTACGATACCTTCTTGCTTTTCTGAAATCAAATAAAAGAGACATGAACTCCCATCTCAGCTGTTGTGTTAGGAAGGAGGACGGGAATGGTAAATGCTGACGCTACAGGCGGCAGTCTGTGTCTGAGAGAAAATCTATCCCAACCTTGCTTGGGGCCTTGACGCCATCTTCCCTCCAGAGCACCGCGCCAGTCACCCCGCCCTGTGGTGTCCTCCCACCTGGAGCCTGATCTTCCCGGTTCACGCCTGCCCGGGGCCAATAGCCTCTTAACGGCTATTGGATGCTCCAGTGAGCCGTGATTGCACCACTGTACTCCAGCCTTGGTGACAGAGCCAGACCCTGTCTCAAATAAATAAAAATAAAAATAAAGGAAAGAAAGGGTGGAAACAGAAGTGGGTCCCATTGAACTTCAAGCCTTCAAGCTGCAGCCATGGCTGGACAGGTTGAACTAGCAGGCAGGAGCAGTCGCCATCTTGGCAGCGATTAATGACCCTGATCCATCATCAGGAGGAGGGAGTGGTGCTCTTATGCAGGGAGGGCAGGTGGAATATGTGTGAACTCTGGTGATCTGTTCGGGTGCCACGTGTTACTCCCAGGTCCACCTGTGACATGAATGGACAAGTGCAGGAATAATCTGATATTATTCTCTTTTTTTTTTTTTTTTTTTTTTTTTGAGACGGAGTCTTGCTCTGTCGCCCAGGCTGGAGTGCAGTGGCCAGATCTCGGCTCACTGCAAGCTCCGCCTCCCGGGTTCACGCCATTCTCCTGCCTCAGCCTCCCGAGTAGCTGGGACTACAGGCACCCGCCACCTCGCCCAGCTAGTTTTTTGTAATATTTAGTAGAGACGGGGTTTCACCGTGTTAGCCAGGATGGTCTCGATCTGCTGACCTCGTGATCCACCCGTCTCCGCCTCCCAAAGTGCTGGGATTACAGGCTTGAGCCACCGCGCCCGGCCGTTATTCTCTATTAAATAATGTGCACAACAAATTTCTGGATTTTTATTAAAAGAGCATCTTCTCTGCTACGTGCAAATATATGATCTGAGAAATTCTGACCCATGGACGTTAAAGTATAAAAAGGTTTCCTTGTCTCAGAACAATGTTAGAACAGACATCAACTCACTGCTTCTAGAAGAGCAGCCACTCCTTGGTTTCACAAACTCAATAAACAGTCTCAGTTGTTGTTTAGTATCATTAGGAAGACCACTATTTTGACAGAGATTTCTAGAGCATGTCACAATGACATTGGATACCAAAGAAATGAGTAACAGGCTTGGTTACATGCAATGGCTACCCTCAACCCCCCAACTTCCTGTCCAGTCAAATTCCCTCTGACCTGCTGTCTGCATCTGCCTCTCCAGAAACAGGGCAGACACAGGATTGTCAAAAGTGCTTGCTTCCACCCTCTCCCCCTAAAGGTGACTCAATAAGCACCCCCTGCCCCGCCCAAGGGTCCCTACCACCTCTCCCTGGCTCTGGGTCCACTTTTCTGTACCTTGGACATGGGCATAACATGTTACCCATGAGGCACAGGATGAATAGCAGGGGCAGCCCTGTGACCAGCTGCTGCAAGAGGGGCTGCTGTTTGGCTGGCTACCCTTAGGCAGCTCTATGCAGTACAAAACAGCAGGAGAGAGAAGAATGGCAAGTGGAGGGGGAGGCAGAAAATAACAAGAACGAATGCACATATATGATCGTGGACTTGGGTTTTCATTTCCTTATGAGGGCTCCCATGTCATGTAAAACTTACATTGAGTGTCTATGCTTTCCTCCTGCTAATCTATCTGACGTCAGTTTCAGTCTCAGACCCAGCAGGGACCCTAAGGGGATAAAGGTAAAGTTTTGCCTCCCCTACACAGTCATTGCCCACTCCCACCCTCATCTTGAGTTAACCTCTGATCTACTTTATGTCTACAGAGTTCCCTTTCCTGGCATTTCATATGAAGGGAATCACACTGTATGTGGTCTTTTGTGTCTGACTGATGTCTTTCTCTGAGCGTAATGTTTCTGAGGTTCATCACCATTGTGGCATATGCCATTATGTTGTACCATTATGTTTTTATTCCTGAATATCACATTTTGTTTATCCGTTCACCCACTGATGGATGTTTGAGTAGTTTTCAGTTCAGAGCTGTTCAAATAATGCTGCTCTAAACATTTGCCTCTAAATCTTTATAAGGACATATGTTGTCACTTCTCTCGGCCTGCCTGCTCATTATAGGTGTTTCAGGGATTCTGAAACATGTACTCTTCTTACACAAAATACTATCTTTGTGTCATTTCTCCCAGTCTATGGCTACTGGGGACCACCTGTATACTTCACCCCGATCACAGAAACAGAAGTCCAGTCTCTCTATGTTTTCAAAGGCCTCGTTTGATTTTCAAAGAGATTTTCAACTAACTCTTTCTTTTCCTTTTTCTTTCTTTCTTTTTTTTTGACAGGTCTCGCTCTGTGGCCTGTGGTGGAGCATAGTCGCGTGACCATGGCTCACTGCAACCTCGACCTCCCCGGCTCAAGTGATCCTCCACCTCATCCTCCTGAGTAGCTGGGACTACAGGCGCATGCCACCATGCCTAGCTTCATATGTACTTGCTTCCATCCTCTGCCCCTAATGGTGCCACGGACTCTCTTCTCAATAAGCACCCTTGGCCCATGGGTCTTTAGACTCAGCCTTGCTCACACGGATTCGCCATCTCCCTTCAGGCCTTTCTGCCTCAACTTGCTGATCCTGTATTTTATAACCCCAGAAAGTGTTCTAAGATCCACTCAGTCACCAGCGTAGACATCTGGAGTTATAACTGTATCACTTGTTATCCAAATCCGTGTGGTACCCAAGTTTCAGATATTGGTAGTGATAACTGAGGTCTTGAAAAACACATTTGCTTCTTCTCTCTCCCTCAGCCTCCCTCCTTCAGTCATCAAGTCTCAGAGCAGAATGCTTCCCAAACTCTGATGTGCATGTGCATTCTGGGGGAACCTTGTTAACATGCAGATCCTGACACAATCGGTCTGAAGCCAGTGATTCTCCACTTCTAACCCACTCCCAGATGATGTCAATGGTGCTGGTCTGGGGACCACACTGTGAGCAGCAAGACTGTAGCAAGATGCACCATCTCTACTAAATATCATTTTTTAAAAGGGGCATATGGGCTTGGTGCAATAGTTCACGCCTGCAATCCCAGCACTTTGGGAGGCCGAGTGGGGAGGATCGCTTGAGGAGTTTGAGACCACCCACGGCAACATAGGCAGACCTCATCTCTACCAAAAAAAAAAAAAAAAAAAATTAAGAAAAATTAGCCAGGTAGGCAGGCATGGTGGCTCACACCTATAATCCCAGAATTTTGGAAGGCCAAGACAGGTGGATCACTTGAGGTCAGGAGTTCAAGACTAGCCTGGCCAACATGGTGAAACCCCGTCTCTACTAAAAACACAAAAATTAGCCAGATGTTCACGCCTGTAGTGCCAGCTACTCAGGAGGTTGAGGCAGGAGAATTGCTTGAACCTGAGAGGTGGAGGTTGCAGTGAGCCGAGATCACATCACTGCACTCCAGCCTGGGCGACAGAGCAAGACATCGTCTCAAAAAAAATTAACCAGCTGTGGTGATGCACGCCTGTAGTCCCAGCTACTTGGGAGGCTGAGGCAGGAAGACTGCTTGAGCCCAGGAGGTCAAGGCTGCAGTGAGCCGTGATCTCTTCAATGCATTCCAGCTGGGATGACAAAGTGAGACTGTGTATCAAAAAACAAAAAAACAGCCAGGCGCAGTGGCTCATGCCTGTAATCCCAACACATTGGGAGGCCAAGGCAGGTGCATCACCTGAGGTTGGGAGTTCCAGACCAGCCTGACCAACACGGAGAAACCCCGTCTCTACTGAAAATACAAAATTAGCCAGGCGTGGTGGCACATGCCTGTAATCCCAGCTACTACTAGGGAGGCTGAGGCAGGAGAATCGCTTGAACTCAGGAGGCGGAGGTTGAGGTGAGCCGAGATCACGCCATTGTACTCCAGCCTGGGCAACAAGAGCGAAATTCCATCTCAAAAAAAAAAAAAAACCAAAAAACAAAAAACCACACAGAAACAAAAAAGGAGCCATATGGAACACGAAATTTGCTGGCTGCTGCAGCCAAACAATCTCCCTTCCCCCACCAAGGCCACATAGATTGGCATAGTTCTGTTTCTGTTGCTATAAATGAAAGTTTTTGGTTGGTAACTGTGAAGAGGCCCAGGACGGAGAGAAAAGAATGGTGGGGCTGCGTAGCGGGTGGGGGTGGTGGAAGGACTCAGAGAGGAGGCAAAGGAAAGTAGGGAAACAAAATGAGATCTCTCTCCAAGCAGATCTCTTCAACTACCTGTGAAAACTGATGTGATGAAAAGGGGAATTTGAAGGAGCCATTCCAGAAGACAGGGCAAAAACGGAATCAGGGCCAAGAAAAACAGAAATAGCAGGACCTGGAGTTGAATAGGTGGAATAGTTGAATAGGCTACTCTCCCCAGCTGGTAGGAAACCTAGCAGCCTTCTGGTGTCCAAGGACTGAAAACTTTAGAAGCACCTGGAGTTGGCAGCCTTGGCATGGTCAAGTTGGCACCTCTGGAGGTGCCCAGGCTTCCCTGGCGGCATTGTGAGCAGTGGATGGCGTCAAAGGGCACCCAGAGGAGGAATGGAACACATGCTCCTTGCTAACCACAGGGACAAGGCCACATTCACAGGTACACAAAGGTAGGTACACAAAGGTAGGTATGCGATCAATCAAAGGTTTAAAAAACAGCCACAATACCAGAAGCCTCTTTTGCTTAAAAGAAAGGTTCAGAAATAGACCTAAGTATATATGAGGCCTTTATTATATGACAAAAGTGGCATCTCAGACTGATGAGAAGATGGGCTACTCCATACATGATGCTGAGGCAACTGGTTAGCCATCTTAAAAAAATAAAGTTGGATGTGTAACTGAAATCATAGACTAGGACAAGTGGGTTAGGGATGCAAATGCAAAAGATCAATAGTTCAAAGGCCAATGGGGAAAGGATCTGAGCAGTCACCTCATAGAAAAGAAAATAGAAGATCTTAAGCATGCAAAAAGGTACACCACCTTATTGGTGTAAGAGATTCCACCAATTTTTTTTTCTTTTTCTTTTTTGAGACAGAGTCTGGCCCTGTCACCCACGCTGGAATGCAATGGCATGATCTCAGCTCACTGTAACCTCCACCTACTGGTCTCAAGCCATCCTCCCACTTCAGCCTCACAAGTAGCTGGTATGACAGGCCTGCACCACCATGCCCAGCTAATTTTGGTATTTTTTTGTAGAGACGGGGTTTCACCAATGTTGCCCAGGCTGGTCTCGAACTTCTGTGCTCAAGTAATCTGCCTGTCTCAGCCTCCCAAAGTGCTGGGATTACAGATGTGAGCCACGGCGCCAGGCCTTTTTTTGTTTTTTCATTTCTGGTTTTTTTGTTTTTTGTTTTTTGTTTGAGACAGAATTTTGCTCTTGTTACCCAGGTAAGATCTCGGCTCACCACAATCTCTGCCTCTCAGATATTAGAAACAAGTATTCGGTGCCGCAAAGAAAAACCACCACTTAAACAAAGAATTTCTCAGCAAGGCACATTTACTTCTGCAGAAGCATACTGCTTGCATCTGACTGATCCCAAGAGCACACCAAGCTGGGTAGAGCAGGGGTTTTTATCCCTAACGCAGTTCCTGTTTCTGTGTCCTTTCCCCATTGGCTGGAGTCAGACAGCACAGTATAAGCTAACCCAACTGGCTAATGCTTGAAATTGGATAAGGCCAATTAGGCAGGAAGGGAGAGGCTGCCCATTACTAACTAGGCTGGAAGGGTTGTTTACAGAGTAAGAGGTTTGCTAGTTACCCATTAAGCAGAGAAACAAGTGCTCACTCCAGAGTAAGCAGGAAGGGCTATGTACAGAGCAAGAAAGACCAAGGAAGCTTTGAAGAGGAACTTACTGTTTCTGGCAATTTTCCCCCTCTTGACTTTATAGTTCTTCCTCTTCAAATTTCTCTAACATATTTTGGCTTTGTTGCTCCTCTTGGTTGTCTAGAAGTAGTTGTTTATCTGAGTAGGGTGGGGGAGAATGGAGAGGGGTTTTTGTAAGAGCTGTTTCTATAAGCCTTTGCACAAATCCACAAATACAGGTATGACACAACCTACAAGAATGAGTACACTGGTAATAATTGCAAGGGAGGTAAAGATTGAGGTCATGAGTACCTTCCATTTTCCAAACCATTTTTCCATGAGACCAGAGAACGGGGTGTTCAAGTGATTCTCCTGCCTCAGCTCCCTAGCAGCTAGGATTATGGGCATGCGCCACACACCTGGCTAATTTTGTATTTTTAGTAGAGATGGGGTTTCTCCATGTTGGTGTCAGGCTGGTCTCAAACTCCCGACCTCAGGTGGTCCACCTGCCTTGGCCTCCCAAAGTGCTGGGATTACAGGCGTGAGTCATCGCACCCAATTTGCTAAAAGATCTAATCCCAGCTACTCAGGAGGCTGAGGCAGGAGACTACCCTGAACCCGGGAGGTGAAGGTTGCAGTGAGCCAAGATCATGCCATTGCATTCCAGCACTCCAGCCTGGGCGACAGAGTGAGACTCCGTTTCAAAAAAAAAAAAAAAAATCTTTTTTTCGGTAGAATCTGGGTCTCCTTATGTTGCCTAAGCCGCTTAACCTGTGTCTCAAGGTTTCCTTCTGTAGGTAACTTTTGCGAGTTTGTAATGAGGAGAGGACTTAGCACACAGCCTAGGTCAAACAGTAAATGCTTCCTATTGTATTGTCTGCAGGCAACACAGTTGCTCAGGTGCTTCCGTATCACAGCCAAGACCCCTTCAGGAGAAGCTAGTTGGATACTCGGACCCACATTGCAGACTACTAAGCCACTGTCGCCCCTCAGCTCCGTTTCTGCTCCCTCCACCCCAAGAGGTAGGCATTGGTGTTCCCACCTCCCAGGTGGGGAAGCTGAGAGTCCAGAGGTTAAGTAGTTTGTCCCCAGTCCCCACCGATAGGGCAAGGAGTGGGGTGGGGCTGTGACCCCCAGGGCGGCAGCCCCCTCAGGGCGTGATCTCACAGTTGGACTTCTCTCTGCTGCCCTGGGAGAAGCGGGTGGGGGATGGTCAGGGCTTATTGGTTCTGCTTTTGCCTCCTACCCAGCCAGACTGCTTAAGCTCCACTCTTGACAGTGATGGCTTTCCTAAAAGAACTCAGACCACTCTCCTCCAACTTCCTTCCGCAGACACCTTGTGACACCCACGCCCATTTCACTTGGTCACTGTCTTGACCCCGGGTGGGTCCATCAGCTCATTGCAACCTAATTTTTGTATTTTTACTAGAGACAGTGTTTCACCCTGTTGGCCAGGCTGGCCTGGAACTCCTGTTCTCAGGTGATCCGCCCTCCTCCACTTCCTAAAGTGGACAAGAACAGCATCTCTTTTTGCTGTCCTTTTACAAGCGCGGTGGCTCACGCCTGTAATCCCAGCACTTTGGGAGGCCGAAACGGGCGGATCACCTGAGGAGTTCGAGACCAGCCTGACCAACATGGAGAAACCCCCGTCTCTACTAAAAATACAAAATTAGCCAGGCGTGGTGACACACGCCTGTAATCCCAGCTATTCAGGAGGCTGAGGCAGGAGAATCGCTTGAACTCGAGAGGCGGAGGTTGCAGTGAGCCGAGATCGCCCATTGCACTCCAGCCTGGGCAACAAGAGTGAAACTCTGTCTCAAAAAAAAAAAAAATTTTTTTTTAAAAAGAAAGAAAGAAAGGAGATACAGTGTGCCCCATGAGATGCTGAAAGGGACTCACCTCTTTTGAGACTAAGCATTTAAAGCTGTGGCTCTGTTTGAAATGGAATGATTAGGAGAAAATGCGTTCTTAAGGAAATACACAGCAGTGCTGGCCAAATAAATGCTGTATGTGGAATGCACTGGGAGAAGGCCATGTCCATCTTGATGTGAGGACTTTTAATGCCTTGATTGTACTTGCCTGTATTATTCTATGTTGTCAATGTGTTTTCTTTTTTTTTTTTTTTTTTTTTGAGGCGGAGTCTCGCTCTGTGGCCCAGGCTGGAGTGCAGTGGCCGGATCTCAGCTCACTGCAAGCTCCGCCTCCCGGATTTACGCCATTCTCCTGCCTCAGCCTCCCGAGTAGCTGGGACTACAGGCGCCCGCCACCTCGCCCGGCTAGTTTTTTTTTTTGTATTTTTTAGTAGAGACGGGGTTTCACTGTGTTAGCCAGGATGGTCTCGATCTCCTGACCTCGTGATCCGCCCGTCTCGGCCTCGCAAAGTGCTGGGATTACAGGCTTGAGCCACCGCGCCCGGCCTGTCAATGTGTTTTCTAATACCAGGTCCTCCATGATAAGTTGCTCCCAACCAAGAAGTATTGCCCCAGCTGCAAAGAGCCCTGATTCTCAAATGTGGTCGTGATCATGGTTACTGGTTGGCCCATATGAGAAAGTTAAAAAAAAAAAAAAAAAAAAAGACATTGTCAGACTCTTTATTCTATCTGCTGAAGTGGCCTTCTTTTTATAGGATGGGGGTGGAAGGCCGCCTTCCATGGGTGTGTCCTCCACGATGACCTACCAGATAACAAAGGTGCATGGATTTCAGATTGGCCTACAACAGCATTTGGCTTGTGGAGACAGTGGTTCCCTGGTGAAAAACTGCCATGATGTAAGGAACAGCCCGTCAGAGTGAGGCTGGGGTGCTGCGTGTTGGGGAGAAGCTCCACCTGCTGGCTGAGTCTGGCACATGAACCAGTCTGTGAGTGGATGGATGTGGGTGTAATGGGGGCAATTACACTAGGAAGGAGCCCACATGGAGCCTGCATTCTCTGGGACAGGCCAAGACCCAGATCCTACCTTCCCAGGTGGCTGGATGGGTCGTAGATGTACGAACCGGACCCCTCATTTTCTGATTGCCCCGTGCTTAACGTTTCTGTACCTTTACTGAGGCTCTTTCCTTGGACTCCAGTGTCCAGACCCCTCCTTCTCCTGAACATGAATGCCTGTCCATGGAAATTCGAGTCTCTGTCTCTCACCCAGGCTGGAGTACAGTGATGCAATCTCGACTCACTGCAACCTCTGCCTCCCAGGTTCAAGTGATTCTTGTACCTCAGCCTCCAGAGTATCTGGGATCACAGGTGAGTGCCACCTCGTCTGGCTAATTTTTTGTATTTATAGTAGAGATGGGTTTCAACATATTGGCCAGGTTGGTCTGGATCTCCTGGCCTCAAAGTGATCTACCCACTTGGGCCTCCCAAACTGCTGGGATTACAGTTGTGAGCCACCATGAATTGAGCCATCATGCCTGTCCCTGAAATTCTATTGAAATGTTCAATAAAGTTGTTTTGGTTTTGTTTTTGTTTTCCCTTGTTGGTGAAGCCTGGTGTTTCTATTTTAGTGGACTTGCCTGGCACTGAGGACTGCTATAGTGGTCTTCAGAGGCTCCTGGTATCGACTGCTTGTGAAACCGCTTTTGCAAAATTATGACTGAGACAGTGAAAGAGATCTAACTTAACCAACCCAATCTTGCTTTTAACTTCCAAATTGTCCTTGTTCATTCCTGAGCATAGCCTGAACTAACTTTGGGAGAAGCTTGGTTTATATTTTATTTTATAGTTTAAAACAAAGATGTTAACAGCCCTTTCCCAAGGCAGACCTCCTTCTTGCCTGGGGACTAGATTGCCTTTGGAGGACTTTCATTAGCCACAAGATTAGAAATTATGGACCAGGCTCACCCCTGTAATCCCAGCACTTTGGGAGGCCACGGCAGGTAGATCACCTGAGGTCAGGAGTTCAAGACCAGCCTGGCCAACGTGGTGAAACCCCATCCCTACTAAAGAATACAAGAATTAGCCGGGTGTGGTGGCACATGCCTATACTCCCAGCTACTCAGGAAGCTGAGGTGGGAGGATCGCTTGAATCTGGGAGGCGGCGTGGAGGTTGCAGTGAACCAGGATCTCGCCACTGCACTCCAGTTTGGGTGACAGAGTGAGAGTCTGTCTCAAAAAAAAAAAAAGTTTAGAAATTATGGTTTAGAAGTCATGCTGCTGGAGGCTACAAGATTCTGACCCTCCCTAAACTGCTCCTAAGATCAGTGCTTGGGGTATTTTACAGACCCTGCACTTGATGGATCAGCTGGCACCACCCAGATGGATTAACTGGCTCATCTGATCTTGTGGCCCCCACCCAGGAACTTAATCAGCACAAGGAGACAGCTCCAATTCCCTATGATTTCATCGCTGACCAATCAGCACTCCTGGGTTCACTGGCTTCCCCCAACCCACCAAGTTGTCCTTAAAAACTCTGCTCCCCAAATGCTTGAGTAGACCGATTTGGGTAATAATAAAACTCCGGTTTCCCATACAGCCAGCCCTGCGTGAATTACTCTTTCTTTTTTTTATCTTTTTTGAGATGGAGTTTCACTTTCGTTGCCTAGGCTGGAGTGCAATAGCAGGATATTGGCTCACTGCATCCTCCGCCTCTCAGGTTCAAGCGATTCTTCTGCCTCAGCCTCCCCAATAGCTGGGATTATAGATGTGTGCCACCACACCTGGCTAATTTTTGGTATTTTTAATAGAGACAGGATTTCACCATGTTGGCCAGGGTGGTCTCAAACTCCTGACCTTAGGTGATTCACCCGCCTCGGCCTCCCAAAGTGCTGGGATTACAGGTGTGAGCCACTGTGCCCAGCCAAATTACTCTTTCTGTATAGCAATTCCCCTGTTCTAATGAATCAGCTCTGTTTAGGCGGCAGGCAAGGCGAACCCATCGGGCATTACACTTGGACAGAGGTGACATCCCCCAGGTAGTGAGTGCAAAGAACTAATGCTGCAGCTGTCTTCCATGTATCTGCCACTCAGTGTAGAATGACCCCGAAGTTCTGCATTTCTGCACTGTGTAGGTCAGGCACAAGAAGCTTCATCTCTTATCCCATGTCTGATTCCCGAAACCTTGCTCATTTTCCTACCATCCTCCCTATTCCCAGCCTCCTTTCTTCTTTTGCTCTATCCTCCCCTAAGGACACTGATTACTTTCCTTTCTCTGTTGGTTCTCCCCACCCCTCATTCCATTGTGCCTTGTACCCATACCGCCCAATACCTCTCTTTATTGCTGTCATCTGTCCTGGTGGCCAGTCACTCTCATGCCAACACTTACTTATTCCTTGAAGGTTTTAGCTCCTGACTCACTTTCCAATATAACTTCTGTCACCAATTGACACCTAGTTCCCCAGTTCCTTGACCTAGGCCTTACCTACCCCAGCCACTCACTTCCCTGGCCTAAGTCTAGATCTTGTCATTGCCGATACCATAACGCCATCCACCATCCACTTCCAGGGTCACACTCTCCAATCACCTTCTACCATCCCTCCCTCTGTTACTCTGTGGTACATGTTACTCCACTCCCCCACCCCCCATACCCTTTTGTGTTTCCTTACTCTTTAATTCTTACACTTCTTTTTTTCTTTTTGAGATGGAGTCTCAATCTGTCGCCCAGGCTGGAGTGCAGTGGCACGATCCTCTCACTGCAACCTCTGCCTCTCAAGTTCAAGCGATTCTCCTGCCTCAGCCTCCTGAGTAGCTGGGATTACAGGCATGCACCACCATGCCTGGATAATTTTTGTATTTTTAGTAGAGACACAGTTTCACTATGTTGGCCAGGCTGGTCTTGAACTCCTGACCTCATGATCCACCCGCCTCAGCCTCCCAAAGTGCTGGAATTAAGGCGTAAGCCACTGCGCTCGGCCTCTTGAAGACTCTTCAGTCATTTTTGGGAATCAATGAATTAACTACAGATTTCCCAGGATGATGAAACAGCAAGTCATTTCAAGATGCAAAAGAAGTAAGACCGCTAAGATCCCACAGTGTATCTTGGATTTTGGGAAAGAGAAAAGCAGCCCCAGAAGTGGGTCTGGGATTCACAGCCAGGCCATACCCCATGTCCCGGCTAATAGCATCGACTGCTGCTACTTTAGCCAATTATGGCTTTGGCCTTCCTCTACTCTTCCCTCCTTCTTGGTGAGATGTGTTAAGATGCTCAATCATAGAATTACCCCCACTTCCTGAGAGCATTCCAGAGGAAGGACTCCTCAAATCACGTAACACATGCCCAAATCCTATAATAAACCATCCCTGACACCCTCTTACTGATTCGCCCCACAGTTCCCCGTGGCACGCAAAACGTTCTCCCTCAAAGCTAACTCATGTCATGATAGTTGTGTTCCTGGTGGCCTTTGGCTGGATGGTGCTGACAGGTTAAAAGAGGGCCTACCAATAGATCTATACAGTCATTGCAAGACAGAACAAGTTTTATTCTGTTTAAAAAGGGAAGAAAATGGTCAAGCGTGGTGGCTCACGCCTGTAATCCTAGCACTTTGGGAGGCAGAGGCAGGCAGAACACTTCATGTTAGGAGTTTGAGGCCAGCCTGGCCAACATGATGAAACCCTGTCTCTACCGGAAATGTTGCAGGATTCGGGAGGACAAGAGAGACCTTGGGTTGAAACAGGAGAATCTTTATTGAGTGCACTCAGGCCCAGGGAACTTAACATCCAAAAGACTGAGTCTGGAACAAAGACAGCACCTGACTTTTATACATACTTCACAAAAGGGGGTGGGCTAGCTTGAAGCAAGCTTACAGTGGCATGAAAAGCAGGGATAGAGGCAGGACAAAGACAGGATTGCACATGACTGTTGCCAAGCAACCCAGATGTTTGTTATCTAGGTTTGTCTGGGCATGGACTTATCCTATAACCTTCGCTATGGTGCCCAGGCAGCTGTAGTTCAGGCCTACTCAGGCTTCTCATGACCTTCATTGTACTTCTTAGATAAAACAGAATACTTGCAGTCACTAGTTACGTGTAGGTGGAAACCTACCCAGGTGCCGAGGCAAGAGACTGAGGGCACAACCTGTTCCAATATAATAAAGAAAATAGTTAGAATAAGAAAAGTTATATTAGAAATAGGATATAGAGCCAGGTACGGTGGCTCACACCGGTAATCCCAGCACTTTGGGAGGCTGAGGCAGGTGGATCACAAGGTCAGGCGATCAAGACCATCCTGGCTAACAGGGTGAAACCCCGTCTCTACTAAAAATACAAAAACAAAAAATTAGCCAGGCATGGTGGCAGGTGCCTGTAGTCCCAGCACTCGGGAGGCTGAGGCAAGAGAATGGCGTGAATCCGGGAGGTGGAGCTTGCAACAAGCTGAGATTGCGCCACTGCACTCCAGCCTGGGTGACAGAGTGAGACTCCATTTCAAAAAAAAAAAAAAAAAAAAAAAAAAAAGGGCCGGGCGCGGTGGCTCAAAGCCTGTAAATCCTAGCACTTCAGGAGGCCGAGACGGGCGGATCACGAGGTCAGGAGATCGAGACCATCCTGGCTAACATGGTGAAACCCGTCTCTACTAAAAAAAAATACAAAAAAACTAGCCAGGCGCGGTGGCAGGCGCCTGTAGTCCCAGCTACTCGGGAGGCTGAGGCAGGAGAATGGCGTGAACCGGGAGGCGGAGCTTGCAGTGGCTGAGATCGGCCTGCACTCCAGCCTGGGTGACAGAGGCGAGACTCCGTCTCAAAAAAAAAAAAAAAAAAAAAAAAAAAAAAAAGGATATGAGATGATAGGATATAGAGATGATTATATATGGATATCATCAATCATTAGTTTTTAGTATTAATCTCTGTATTATTATTATTATAACCAAGGATACAGCCAATACAGAGTCAGGAGCTGAAGGGACATTGTGAGAAGTGAGCAGAAGACAAGAGTGAAAGTCCTCTGTCACGTCCTGATAAGGGCTGCTTGAGGACGCCTTGGTCTAGCAGTAGTGCCAGTGCCTGGGAAGGCACCCGTTACTTAGCAGACCTGAGTCTTGTGGTACCACCAGTGCTGGGGAAGGCACCTGTTACTTAGCAGACTGGGAAAGGGAGTTTCCCTTTCCTCGGGGGAGTTAGAGAACACTCTGCTCCACCAGCTCCTGTGGGAGGCCTGACATTAGCCAGGCGTGCCTGCAGTCATCTGGAGGCTTAAATGTCTCTCTGTGGTGTTGTGTTTCAGTTGTCACGCTTCTTGTCCACTTTCATGTCCTGTCTCTACACCTGGTTCCTCTTTTAAGTTCCTATAAGATAGCAGTAGTAGAATTAGTGAAAGTATTAAAGTCTTTGATCTTTCTGGTAAGTGCATAGAAAAAACACTGATGTATGCTGTCCTCCCCCTCTGCTTCGGTTACCACAAAGGAGAAGACCCCCACGTGACTTGTTTGACCTTATCAATCACTTGGAATGACTCACTCTCCTTACCCTGCCCACTTGCCTTGTGTACAATAAATAGCAGTGTGTTCAGGCATTCGGGGACACCACCGGACTCCACGCATTGGTGGTAGTGGCCCCCTGGGCCCAGCTGTCTTTCCTACTTTCTCTTAGTCTCGTGTCTTATTTTTCTACCAACTCTTGTCTCTGCACATGAAGAAAACAACCCGCAAGGCCCAGTAGGGCTGGACCCTACAGTTACAGAGAACAGGAATCTATAAACTCATTCCATAAAACAAAGGAAAATTTGTTTTTCTTCTCCTTATGTTGAGGGAGTGCTGGGAGAGTCTCCAGAGCACATTAGATAATATTATCAAGACTTTTCCTGGGTCTGGGCTATGCCTGTTGCTGCCTCTGGGACAAGTCAGCCTAATACACGGAAACTTATTTCTGTTTCCTTTTAATTTTATTTTTCTTTAATTTCCCACCTCAAAACCACAGAAATTAGCCAGGTGTGGCGGTGCATGCCTGTAATCCCAGCTAGTTGGGAGGCTGAGGTGGGAGAATCACTTGAACACCAGAGGCGGAGGCTGCAGTGAGTCAAGATGGCGCCACTGCACTTCAGCCTGAGCAACAGAGTGACACTCCATCTCAAAAAAAAAAAAAAAAAAAAAAAAAAAGGGGGGGGGGGGGGCAGGGTGAAAAAGAAATAAACTTACTTATTTCATTGGAAGACCTGTAAAAGAACAAAAGTCATGAAATATCAGTATGTACATCTAGAATTGCTCCAAAAAGAAACGAAAATGAATGGGGGCTTGGGGTGGGGAGAAGAATGGATTAGTCAGCTATAACTTTGGGTCCAAGGGACCCTGGTGGTATAGTGGAGGTTAACTTTGCAATCAGTGACTCAGGTGAGCCTCTTAGTGTTGAAAAGTGAAATCATCCTGTTTCCCTAATGTGTAGATCTTACATTTTCCAGACAGCTGATTTTCACTTTCTTCAACCTCCAAAGAATCTCAGTTGACTACCTTGCTTTCTATGTCCCCAGGGGAATAGAAACAATCAGAGGAAACTTCCATAAGTTCCCAGGACACATCCACCCTCCATGTGTAGCCACCACCTCTACCTTCCCCTCTGGTGCTGTGGATGAGCCATCCATGCCCCTGGCAAAGGCCCACCTGCCACTTGGGCACAGGAACCCATCCATCCCTCCTTACCTCTGACAACTCTCCCTCTCTCTCTCCTGCATCCTTCATATTCTCTGGGTTGTATTCTCTTCCAGCCCCCGCACCCCGCCCATCCCCAGCCCCAGCATGTAAAAAGTGCTGTTATTGTTTCCACTTTAAAATAAACCCTAAAAATAAATAAATAAAATAAACCCTACCTTGACCTCACTTCACTCTATAGCTACCATCTCATTTCCCTTCTTTTAACAGGAAAACTCCTCCAAACACTTGTCTATATTTGTCCATCATTCTCTCCCTTTCTCTCTCTCTCCCCCCTTATTTTATTTTATTTTATTTTATTTTATTTTATTTATTTGAGACAGAGTCTCGCTGTGTCACCCAGGCTGGAGTGCAGTGGCATAATCTCGGCTCACTGGAACCTCTACCTTTTGCATTAAAGCAATTCTCCTGCCTCAACCACCTGAGTAGCTGGGATTACAGTTACCACCTCGCTGGGCTAATTTTTGTATTTGTAATTGAGATGGGGTTTCACCATGGCAGCCAGGCTGGTCTCAAACTCGTGACCTCAAGTGATCTGCCCACCTCTGTCTCTCAAAGTGCTGGGATTAGAGGTGTGAGCCACCACGCCTGGCCTATTTTTTAATTTTTTTGAGACAGAGTTTCCCTCTGTTGTCCAGGCTGAAGTGCAGTGATGCCATCTCGGCTCACTGCCACCTCTGCCTCCCAGGTTCAAGCGACTCTCCTGCCTCAGCCTCCCTAGTAGCTGGGATTACAGCCATGTACCACCACACCTGGCTAATTTTTGTATTTTTAGTAGAGACGGGGTTTCACCATGTTGGCCAGGGTGGTCTCAAACTCCTGACCTCAGGTGATCTGCCCGCCTCAGCCTTCCAAAGTGCTGGGATTACAGGCATGAGCTGCTGCGCCTAGCTTCAATTATTTTAATCTTTGAATAACTTCAGATTTGCAGAAAAGTTAGAAGACTTATATGGAGAACTTCTCTACCCTCTTCCCCATCCCCGCAAGGTACACAGTTGGCAAAGCAAGAAGTCTGGGGTTCAGTGACACACTTCTTAACTCACAAGTTCATGCTCTTTCTTCTCTCTCTGTCGTCTCTCCCTCCCTCCCTCCCTCCCCCCTTGATGGCCACATTTACTTTATAATTTTCTCTCTCACTCTTTCTCTGTTTCACTCTCTCTTACACAACACACACACTCATAGGAAGACACCTATATACATTTTTTTCCCGAACCATTGGTAAGTAATTTGCACACAGGATGTCCCTTCACACCCAAGTCCACCAATACTTCAGTGTATTTCCTGAGAAGAAAGACCTTCTAGATGTTTCTTTTTTGTTTTGTTTTGTTTTTTTTTGTTGAGACGGAGTCTCGCTCTGTCGCCCAGGCTGGAGTGCAGTGGCCGGATCTTGGCTCACTGCAAGCTCCGCCTCCCGGGTTTACACCATTCTCCTGCCTCAGCCTCCCCAGTAGCTGGGACTACAGACGCCCGCCACCTCGCCCGGCTAGTTTTTTGTATTTTTTACTAGAGACGGGGTTTCACCGGGTTAGCCAGGATGGTCTTGATCTCCTGACCTCGTGATCCCCCCGTCTGGCCCTCCCAAAGTGGTGGGATTACAGGCTTGAGCCACCGCGCCCGGCCTAGATGTTTCACATGAATTCCATAGTGGAATCTACAGTCAGAGTTCAGATTTCACCAGTTGTCCCAATAAAGTCCTTTAGATTTTTCTGGCCCAGGATCACTTGTCACTTTTGGTTGTCAGGTCTCTTTAAGTCTCCTTCGGTCTTATGTGTTGTCAGCCTTTTTTTTTTTTTTTTGAGACAGAGTCTCACCCTGTTCCCCAGGCTGGAGTGCAGTGGTGCTATCTTGGCTCACTACAACCTCCACCTCCCGGGTTCAAGCAATTCTTCTGCCTCAGCCTCCCAAGCAGCTGGGATTACAGGCGCCTGCCACCACACCAGACTAATTTTTGTATTTTTAGTAGAGACAGGGTTTCACCATGTTGGTCAGGCTGGTGTTCAACTCCTGACCTCAAATGATCCGCCCGCCTCAGCTTCCCAAAGTGCTGAAATTACAGGCGTGAGCCACTGCACCTGGCAGCCTTTTTTTTTTTTTTTTGAGACGTTGTTTCGCTTTTGTCTCCCAGGCTGGAGTGCAATGGCGTGATCTTGGCTCACCACAATCTCCGCCTCCGGGGTTCAAGCGATTCTCCTGCCTCAGCCTCCCGGGTAGCTGGGGTTACAGGCATGCGCCACCACGCCCAGCTAATATTTGTATTTTTTAGTAGAGACAGGGTTTCTCCATTTTGGTCAGGCTGGTCTTGAACTCCTGACGTCAGGTGATCCGCCGGCTTCAACCTCCCAAAGTGCTGGGATTACAGGCCTGAGCCACTGTGCCTGAACTTTTTTTTTAAAAAATAATATTTTGTTTGTTTGTTTTCCTTATGGAGTCGGGGGTTAGCCATGTTGCCCAGACTGCTCTCGAACTCCTGGACTCAAGCAATCTACCCGCTTCGGCCTCCCAAAGTGCTGAGTGATGGGATTACAGGCGTGAGCCACCCCTCCCGGCCGACATCGATGTTCACGGAGGAGCCCAGGACGGTATTCTGTAGAATGAGCCTCATTTGCGGTCTTGTTCTCTTTTTTTTTTTTTTCTGTAGACACTGTTCAATGAGTCAAAACTTTTTTTTTTTTTTTTTTTTTTTAAGAGTAAGTATGTGTCTACCAAGAGCTTTTTACTAAGCTAGGTCATTAGCAATTTAGCACGGACAGAACAGTGTTGTTTCCTGCTTACTAGTGGGAGAGACAGATAAGTGAGCAAATTGATAAACAAGAAGGCTGTTTCTTGTTCTCTTTTGAACCCGCTCCAGTAAGTCTCTTGCTCCCGGCTTTTGTCAAGGTTCCTAAATCCAAAGGCCGCTTCTCAAGCCCCAACTTCCTTTACTCATCGACTGCTTCCCACGCAGTTGAGCGTTCCCTGGTTCCGGACAAACCTTTTGGGCTTGGTTTCCGGAACACCTTGCTCTCCTGGTTTTCCTTCTGCCTGTTCTTCCTGGACTTTGGAGCGCCCCAAGGCTCATTCCTTGGCCCTCTGCTGCCTGCTGGCTACACACTCTTCCTCCTTCCGGGGAGCTCCTCCATACTCATGGTCCCCAAAGAGTCCCAGCTTGGAGTCCAGAATGGCACATCCAGCGGCCTGGCTGACACCTCCGCTTGGCCGTCTGGCTTGCCGCCTCTCGCTCGTCCTCTCCAAAACTGGTCTCCAAACAGGACATCCCGCTCCCTCCTGCACTCCGTCCCCTCAACCTTCCAACCCCGAACCGACAAACCTAGTCCTCGGCCAACTCTGAATACGGCAGTAGCTCTGGCCAAACCCTTGGAGTCACCCTCCACTCCTTTCTCTCACCCCTCATCCCAACTATCCGCAAAGGCCATCAGCTCAGCTTTCAAAGTACACCCAGAATCTGGCCACTTCTCACTCCCCGCACTGCCCCCATCCTGGCCCAAGCCCTCGCGCTCTCTTTCCTGGGAGGGTGCTATGGTCTCCTCGCCCGTCTTCCGGTTTCTCGGCCCTGACCCCCTGTGGCTTGTCTGAGCTCTCGCGTTCACAGGGAAATAGTGGTCGCTCTCACCATGCTATACTGTCCTCCCTCAGCTCGCCCCCTCCGCGGGTGGGAAGCACACGAGGCCCCGCCCGATCCGACGCCCTCCGGGGTCACCTCCCAGCCCCTGCCCCGCGCCGCCCCAGCGACTCGGTCCTCCGGACCCACCCCAGGGCGTCGAAACTGGTGGTTCCCTCGGCGGTTCCACGCCCCTCGCCTCCTTCCCGGGCAGAAGCAGCTTCGCAGCGCCACTCACGGAGCAGAGATTATCAGGGCCCGTTTCCCAAGGCTCCGCCCAGCCCTCGAACCTGTGGGAGCGAGCGTTCCCTCCCACGGGGCTGCGCCCTGGCCTCAACGAAAACTCGCGGGTCCAGACGGTTGAGAAATGGCTAGAGGGAGGGAGAGGTAAGTGCCCGTCTCCGTGTGGTCAACTATACAAAATATGTAATTACATGTCTCTAACACATTTAATAAAGTAAGCCCAGGCCCGCAGGGTGGCTCACGCCTGTAATCCCAGCACTTTGGGAGGCCTAGGCGGGCGGATTAGGAGGTCAGGAGTTGGAGACTGTTAGGCAGGGACCCAGACCGACATGGCGGCGCCACTCTGCGTAGGAGGCCCTTTGTTCCAACCGGCCCTTTGTTTTCAGACTTCCTTCCCTCTTTGAACACACCCTCAGACTTATATACATCAGAGGTTCCAGCTGGGCAGTAACACTCCCCCATGACCTGTAGCTCACCTGCATTCCACAAGTTCGTAAATAGCAGTTTCGGTTGACAGTTTCCAAAGACCCCTTCCTCATGACCCTTACTCCTGTCCTAGTAGTTTCAAGAGGCCCCAGGCCCTGTTTGCACAACCAGCTTCCCTACCTCTCAGGCTATCAGAAGCCCCTACCCTCCTCCCTCAGCGCGACTTCCTCGGTCCAAGCCCACACCTTTGGACTGAGGAACCTCCCCCGCAAGCCCTAATAAAAGGGTATTCTCACTGCCATTTGCCTTGTGTCTTCGTTCCTGGTTCGGCTCCAGCCTCTGTAAAGTTTACCTTTACAGAGACCAGTCTGGCCAACATAGTGAAACCTCGTCTCTACTAAAAATACAAAAATTTAGCCTGATGTGCTGTGTGTGCCTGTAATCCCACCTACTTGGCAGGCTGAAGCAGGAGAATCACGTGAACCCGGGAAGCGGAGGCTGCAGTGAGCGGAGATGGCGCCACTGCACGCCAGCCCGGGCAACAGTGCGAGAATTCATCTTAAATAAATAAATAAAGCAAGTCCAACGAGATTATGTTAGATGGTGGTAATAGGGTAATAGGGGTGTTCACCAAACAATTCCTTTAACGTATGTGTGAAAAAACGTTTAAAGAAATGTTGGATGCTAGCTAGGTCAGGACTGAAAAAGAGAGGAGACAGAGAGAAAAAAAAGAGATGTTGGAAAGAAAAGCCTCATACAACTCTTCAAGTCCATTTCCTTGTGGGCTTTTCCTCTTGAAGGGCAATGAAGCTGAAGGAGCTTCCCAGCGATTCTGGTGATTCACAAGCACTCTCCTGTTCTATGCCTGGCCAGCCTACAGGGAGGACGGAGCTCAGCGCCTGAGGGGCCGGGCATGCAAATTTAAAATGGCTGTTTTGCTCGGGAGCTTTGGGAACAAAAAGAGAAAGTGAATATCCCCCCAAAGTTGTAACAGTATTACTTATGCAGTGTCACAAATTGTAAGAAGGAACATCGTGTGAACCTAGGGAAGAGAGTGCTTCTTTATTTGAGGGTGATTTTTCTTACCGTGAGCTCAGGATGAGTGGGAGAAGGAGTGCTGTGGCCCCACTAAATTAGGCAGTATCGCTTCTCGGCCTTTTGGCTAAGATCAAGTGTAGTATCTGTTCTTATCAGTTTAATATCTGATACGTTCTCTCTGAGGACAACATATTAAATGGATTTTTGAAGCAGAGTGTTGGAATAGGAGCTTGCTCCGTCCACTCCACGCATCGACCTGGTATTGCACTACTTCCAGGAACGGTGCACCCCCTTCAGGGGTCATAAATGCAAGTCATAAAAATAGGTGAGTTATGTTGCTTTAGCTGTTTTTTGACGTTTTTCCTTTTTTTGCATGGGTGTAGTGCAATGGTTGAAGCTCTTTTGTTTTCCATTGGATTGAGGGTAAGCGAGCACGAGCAAACACTTGGAAGTGTATTTTTAGGTTCCGAGGCATGATAAACTAGTATACCTGATAAACTAGATACCGCTTGTTGCCAACCTGATGTGGTAAGCGAGCACAAGCAAACACTTGGAAGTGTATTTTTAGGTTCCAAGGCATGATAAACTAGATACCTGATAAACTAGATACCGCTTGTTGCCAACCTGATGTGCCAAGAGGTGCACTGCTGATTTCTGGACTCGGACAGTTAAAACACGAAGCAAGCAGGATTATCAATCATAAGCCAACGCCAGATGCGATTTGGTTTAGTCTTAGTTACTTTTTTCTCGTTTTTCATATTATTGCCTCCCAACTGCTCTTATTTTTTTTTCCTTTTCTTTCCTTTGTTTTTTTGATACCGAGTCTCACTATGTTGCCCAGGCTGGAGTGAAGTGGCCTCATCTCAGCCCACTGCAACCTCCGCCTCCTGGGTTCAAGCGATCCTCCCGCCTCAGCCTCCCGAGTAGCACCATGATCTCAACTGGCTCATGCCAGGAGTTCGGGACGACAGGTTTCTGCCTCTAGTCGGCCCTCGGCATCCCCAGGAAAATGGAAAGTGGAAGCTGGCTCCAGGCAGACCAACGTTCCCAACCCAGAAGGGTTGGGGATTGTTAGAAAGCCCTTCCCCAGATAGCCTCACACCTGAGTCGACTTTTCTGGGACTACAGGCTTGCGCTACCACGCCTGGCTAATTTTTGTGTTTTTAGGACAGACAGAGTTTCACCATGTTGGCCAGGTTTGTCTCCTGAACTCAAGTGATCCGCCCGCCTTGGCCTCCCAAAATGCTAGAGTTACAGGCCTGAGCCACTGCGCCCGACCTTTATTTGACTTTTTAATTCATCCCGTCAGGGAGCTGAAGCCTCTTACTCAGGAATTACCAGGTACCGCGCCTGGTCCCTGCGAATAAGAAAGGTTGTTTGACTAGGAGGCCTCGTCGGAGGCATCTCGCAGTTAGCCAGGAGTGGGGAGAACTTTTTTCTCGTGGTTTGCATAGGAGCTTAACTGCAGTAGAATAAAACATCAGTTACATTTCTAAGGTCTTGACTCCAAACCTTGGCTCCTAGACAGCATCCCAGCACCCATGCAGGGCTTGGGGGAGCTCACTGTCCTAAAGGGAGGGACATAATCCTGGCTGGCTTGGCCACCTGATCTTAGAGCTCTACGACCTTGAGGGAATATAGGTGGTAGCCGGGTAGTGAATATAGCAGGCCTTTGAGTGAGACCCAGTGCTGTGCTGGGTTTGGGTCTGAACCAGCACAGGGTTGCTTAGGCATCTCAGCACAGAGAAAGACTCCATTTATTTGGGAGAAAGTAAGGGAAAAGAACAAGAGTCTGTGCCTGGTAATCCAGAGAATTCTTCCGGATCTCATCCAAGACCACCAGGGTAGTACCTCTACTGTAAGAATCACGGCATGATTGGGCTTGGGGCACACATATCCTGGAATACCCAGAAAGCCTTCCCAAGAAGGACACACAGAAACAAGACTGTGAAAAATACAATAAATGCCTAATTCTTCCATGCACACATAAAACAAACATCCACAAGCATCAAGACCATCCAAGAAAACACGATCTCACCAAACCATGTTTGGCGAGGCACCAGGAACCAATTCCAGAGAAACTGAGACATGTGACATTTCAGACAGAGAATTCAAAATAGCAATTTTGAGGAAATTTAAAGAAACTGGAGAAAATGGCCAGGCATGGTGGCTCACACCTGTAATCCCAGCACTTTGGAAGGCCGAGGCAGGCAGATCACCTGAGGTTAGGAATTCAAGACCAGTCTGACCAACATGGAGAAACCGTCTCCACAAAAAATACAAAATTAGCCTAGCGTGATGGCACATGCCTATAATCCCAGCTACTCGGGAGGCTGAGGCAGGAGAATTGCTTGAACCTGGGAGGCGGAGGCTGTGGTGAGCTGAGATCATGCCATTGCATTCCAGCCTGGGCAACAAGAGAGAAACTCTGTCAGAAGGAAAGAAGGAAGGGAGGGAGGGAGGGAGAGGGAGGGAAGGAGAAAAGGAAAGGAAAGGAAAGGAAAAAAAGAAATTGGAAATGCAGAATTCTATCAGGTGCATTTACCAGAGATTGAAATTATTCTGGCTGGACGCAGTGGCTCACACCTGTAATCCTGGCACTTTGGGGGACAGAGGCAGGATAATTGCTTGAGTCCAATGGTTCAAGACCAACCTAGGCAACATGGTGAAATTTCGCCTTTACAAAAATAAAAAAATTAGCTGGGCATGGTGGCAGACACCTGTAGTTCCAGCTACTCCGTAGGCTGAGACGTGAGAATCGCTTAAACCGGGAAGACAGAGGTTGCAGTAAGCGGAGATCGTGCCATTGCATTCCAGACTGGGTGACAGACTGAGACTTTGTTGCAAAAAAGAAAAAAAGGACACGAAGAAGTCAAATTATCCTTGTTTGAAGGTGATGTAATCTTATATTTGGAAAAACCTAAAGACTCCACCAAAATTAGGTGATTAGGACTTTGCAATTTACTTGTCTCAACTTATGACAGGAGGGATCGGCCCAGACAGACAGTATAATGAGGAACAGTTTCTGGTGGAAATACACAAGGCAGATGTACATGTGAACAAGTGAGCATCCCCAGTTGTCCCATCTCCCATCTAGAGGACTTAAATCCTATAAACTGGGTTTAGTCTTAACCCTAAGACTTGCTCTTGCCAGACCTCCAACCATTCTGAACAATGACAGCCAAAGGAGGTCATACCTACAAAGGTCTTTCCTGAAGGGGAGTGTAAATTCCTTCTCTGTCTAACAGTGCTTATCACCCCTTGGCTATAGTTGAGGACAATAGCTCGATAGCTCCGTGGAGTGAATCATCCTGAGGTCCTAGCCCCACCCTACAGCCATTAAATTAGAATCTTTGGGACAGGGCCTAAGGCTGTTGTACTTCACAGCTTCCGGGCTATTTCCCTGGGACCAAAAGCACCTCTTAGAAATGTCCAGTGAAGACAGTAGTCAGCTTGGTCTGGAACAAGGAATTTTCCCCGGAAGTGAAAGTGTTCAACAGGAGGCACTCAGTAACCAGTGTGTGTAAACGAGAGAGTAGCAAATCCCTTGGTTTTGTCACTGACAAGAGGCCACCCAGTCCAGTGGGGAGGCTTTTCCACCCAAATTGGAATATGTGCACAGCAAGTCCGACAGCTTCTGTGCTGTTCCCACTCTGCAGAACTAGATGGACCCCACCCCCACTACTGACCCAAAATTTATTTTGGAAATTGAGGCTGGTGACACCACACAGGGACCGAGAAGGCGTGAAAGGTTTATAACTCACAAAATGAGGTGCTCTGGGAGATCAGAGTGGCTCCCAGGCAGGTCGGAAAATGACTTGAGAGCGAGGAGACTGGGTTGGTGTTTTGATGGGGGTTTGGGAAGGGGCAGGATGGAGGGCTCTGGGAGCGGGAGCTGGTGCTGCCTGCTGGGTGCCAGTGGGGGGAGCACCCGAGTTTTGTCATGAGCTTGTTATCTCCACTCATAGAATGGGAGCCTCTTGTCATCTCCACTCAGATTGTCGGGACCTATCAATACACTTGGCTCTAAGAGGAGGAGGGCTGTGAACTAACGCTAATGCCTACAGCGCCTTGGTCATTTAGGCTGAGGTTAAGTGCGGAACTTGCACTGTCAGTTACCGTTATTTCGCATTACATCAGCAAAGGAGATCTCTAAACGCTGTCTGCTGACAAGGTGGAATGGGAGGTTCTTTCATTACCTCCACGCGTTTGCATTGGATCGTCGGGGCCTGTTAGCACACTTGTGTGTATATAAGTCAGCAGCGTGTACTTTGGAGAGTGTGGCAGCTTTAGATTTCACTTGGTTTAGTCACATGCGGTGTGACGATCATTGGATTAAAGGTTACCGCACCTACATCAGTATCCGTGTTCTGACTGGTCTCTGCTATTACTTGGCACACTCAGATGCGATATTCGGATCGCTGTGTTTAAGTTTAGCGCCCCTACTTTACCAAGCGGGACGGTTTTTTTCATTTACGTGTCTCTGTCCGAGGCAGTATAAACATCTTTCCGTTCAAGTTTACCGCATGTGTTTCACTATCCAGAGTCGGACTGCTTTTCGATTTACGTGGCTTTGTGGGATGCGGTATGAAGATCGTTGCATTCAAGTTTGCTTTAAAGATAGTAATATGGGACTGGGTGCCGTGCCTCAGGCTTGTAATCCCAGCACTTTGGGAGGCCGAGGTGGGTAGATCACCTGAGGTCAGGAGTTGGAGACCAGCCTGGCTAACATGTTGAAACCCTGTCTCTACTAAAAACAAACAAACAAACAAACAGAAAAACAAATATTAGCCAGGCGTGGTGGCGCGCTCCTGTAATCCCAGCTACTCGGGAGACTGAGGCAGGAGAATTACTTGAACCCGGCAGGCGAAGTTGTGGTGAGCCGAGATCGCTCCATTGCACTCCAGCCTCGGCAACAAGAGCGAAAACTCTTTTAGTGTTTATTTCCTGTTTCTTTAACTCTTACAGGGGCCCCTTTCCCAAGGCTCCGCCCAGCCCTGGAACCAGTCAGAGCATGTGCTCCCCCGGGGCCTGCACCCTGGCCTCCTCGAAAACTTGCCGGACCAGACAGTTGAGAAATGGCTAGAGGGACGAGACCTGAGTACCTGTCTCCATCTGCGCAGCTACAGAAAATATGTAATTACGTGTCTGTAACACATATAAAGCAAGTACAGCAAGATGACTTTAGGTGATGGGCATACGGGTGTTCACCAAACAATTCTCTCAACGTATGTGTGAATCAAAGTTTAAAGAAATGTCGGATGCCGGCTAGGTTAGGACGAGAGGGGGAGGAGGAGGGAGAGGGAGGTGAAGGGAAGAAGGAGGGAGGGAGAGGGGAGGGGAAGGGGGAGGAGGAGGAAAGAATAGCCTCATAGAGTTCTTCGTGTCTTTTTCGTTCTGGGTTTTTCCTCCTGAAGGGCAATGAAGCCGAAGGAGCTTTCCCAAGATTCCAGTGATTTACAGGCTCTTTTCTGTTCAGTGGTTGGCAGGCAGGGCACGGCGCGTCTGGGGCGGGGCATGCAAATTTTAAATGGCTGTTCCTCTCGGGACTTATGGGAGCAAAAAAGGAAAATGAATATCCTCCGAAATAGTAACAATATTACTTAGGCAAGTTTTAAAATTTGGATAAAGATACACAATTTCAACGTAGGAGAGAGAGTTATTGAGGGTGAAATCTGTCACCCTGAGCTGAGGATGTGTGGAGAAGGGGTGCAGTGGACGATAGGTGTTAATGTTTTACGGCTTGGTTTACCTTTGTTCAGCTGAGCTTGAGAGTTTCTTTAAACCTTTATTTGGTGATTAGTGTGTGTTTCATTATTTTTATTTTTTTTTTCTCCCCGCTTTCTACCCGTTATGAAAGCAAGATTATCAGCGTATTTTCGTGTAGTCCTCAGGAGCGAGAGGTGTTTTTCAACGTGTGATCTTCACAAAAGCGCCCGTGTCCTAACGATTAGATTGGGCCTTCAGCATCTCAGAAGACCTCGCCGCGTAAGTCGGGTCGTCACGGTCTGTTAGCATGCTAGTATTATATTTAAGTTCACCACGTGCTCCTTACTTTTACGCGTTTACATCGGTTCTTTTGGGCCTGTTGGCGCCGCTATGTTTACATTGGCCGCCCGTGCTTTACGTTTGCACTTTTACGTCGGATCATTGGCGTCTGTTAGCGCCTCTTTTTTACATTGGCCGTCCGTGCTTTACGTTTGCACGTTTACGTCGGATCATTGGCGTCTGTTAGCGCCTCTTTTTTACATTGGCCGTCCGTGCTTTACGTTTGCACGTTTACGTCGGATCATTGGCGTCTATTAGCGCCGCTGTTTTTACATTGGCCGCCCGTGCTTTACGTTTGCACGTTTACGTCGGATCATTGGCTATTAGCGCCGTTGTTTTTAAGCTGGCCGCGCGTGCTTCGGAGAGCTTAGTTGCTTTCGGTTTCACTTGGTTGCGGCGTGACGATCATTGAGTTAAAGATTACTGCACTCATCGGTCTCCATCAGTCTCCGTAATCTGACTGCTCTTTGTTATTACTTGGTTTACTTACATACAATATGCGGATTGTTCTGTTTAAGTTCAGCGCCCATACTTCACTATCCCAAGTGGGACTGCTTTTTCATTTACGTGTCTCCATCCAAGGCAGTATAAACATTTTTCTATTCAAGTTTACCGCATGTGTTTCACTATCCAGAGTCGGACTGCTTTTCGATTTACGTGGCTCTGTGGGATGCGGTATGAAGATCGTTGCATTCAAGTTTGCCGCCTCTACTTAACTGTGCAGGATCTGACTGTAGTCAGATCTGTATGACAGATGTTACACTCGTTTTCTGCGGGTACGTCGCTATCCAGTCTATTTTTTCCATTAACGTGGCTGAGTCCTATGTAGTATGAGTGTCAGAGGCATTGGAACCCGAAGCGACCCTATTTTGAGTGAGGGCTAGAAAAATGAGGCCGGGATTTACGGGGGTGCATTCTCTGAAGGATATTCCTAGCTGTCAGATGTTTACGGTTAAGGGAATAAATCAATGTTTACTAAAGAGACCCAAGTGTCCAGATAGCTGGATATCTGGAGAACAAAGGCGTTCCTAATTTTGCTTGAAAGATAGTAATAGGGATTCTTGCACAATATAATAATTAAAATTAATCCTTTATCACAAACCCTTGTAGCAGAGCACCTCTCCCTATGTATACAAGCATTGTACCTAGGGTGGATACGTTCCTTCTCTTAGTTTCGGGAACGTCCTACTCTGTCTTTGGAGTAGCTGTTCTTTCACTTTACTTCCTTAATAAACTTGCTTTTATTTTGCACCGCGGACTTGCCCTGACTTATTTCTTGCGCGAGATCCAAGAACCCTCTCTTGGGGTCTGGATCAGGGCCCTGTTCCTGTGACGTATTTCTGGCGACCACAGATGGGACTATAGTGCTTTGGGTAAGTGTTGCGGCCCTATAACATATTTCTGGCGGACGACGGAAGGGAGGATACTGAAGAAACTCACCCAACCCAAAGGAAGTAGACTGCAGCACTGATGGGACGACTTTGGGTAAGTGGTGGAGTGCCCGGGTAAAGAATGGGGTTGGGTTAGAGACGTAACTTAGTGGAGTTAAAGTCTTTCCTAAAAGAGAGTGGGTTAGAGGCCCCTCTTAATAAAAGGCAAGGATGCTTGACCTCGGGTTAGAGGCCCAACCTAGGAGGGTTAGAGTCCCTTCTAAGATTTAGGGGGTTTGAGGTCCCTCAGTGAAGTCCCTCTCGGCTAAAAAATAGGTTTCACACCGCAAGCTATGCTCTTGGTATTAATCTGCCTCGTCCTCCTTGTCTTGGTTGCTGTCTCCGTTTCACTGTCATTTGCAGGAGACTTCATTTAACTGGTCTTAGGGATTTTACTTTATTCTCCTGTGTCCTTCCCAATTTCTGTCCGTTTGCTTGTGAAACACTGAGAACAGCAAGCATTGGAGGATCCGTCTCTAAAATTGCTGATTGAGATTTGGTATTTAACAACTATGAGCAATAAGATTAGATAGATATGGTTCTGTTTTGTTGCTGCTATGCTAAGTGTGATTGAGAAGCATTACGATGGAAATCAGGGGACTTTTCTCCTTGCTGTTTTGTTTCATTTTGCACACTAAAACTCCTTTATGGCCAAGTGCGGTGTCTCACGCCTGTAATCCCAGCGCTTTGGGAGGCTGAGGTGGGCCAATCACCTGAAGTCAGGAGTTCAAGACCGTCCTGTCTAACACGGTGAAACCCCGTCTCTACTAAAAATACAAACATTACTCGGGTGTGGTGGTGCACGTCTGTAATCCCAGCTTCTTGGGAGGCCGAGGCAGGAGAATCGCTTGAACCTGGGAGGCGGAGTTTGCTGTGAGCCGAGATTGCACCACTGCACTCCAGCAGCCTTAGCAACAGAGTGAGACTGTCTCAAAACAAAAACAAAAAAACTTTCCTTTCTTGGATTCGGGCAAACCGGCTTGGCTTTGCTTTCCCAATCCATTCTGCTGCTATTGCTTGCTCTGGTTGTTCCTATCTAAATCCTATTCATTTATTTTGCCGTATTTGACATTTTTGTCGAAGTCCATGTTGTGGTTTATCTAAGATTCATGGCTCAGCTCACTTATGTTATTTGGATAATGTGAATCACGTTTGATGAGAGGAAAAGAAGAAAAAGATCTAGACATACTAGGTGATCCTTTAATGCAAGCCCTGCCGTGGTTCAGCGGGCATTTTTGGGTGGAGCAGAACCTCCTTCTGTCAGTTCCGAAGGTTCAGATGTGTCAGTTCTTTCTCCCTCTAGTCCACCTGAAAGTTCCTGAGAACCCTTCGTCCCTTCTCCTTACCCAGCTAGTCCCACTCTATACCTACCACTCCCCACGGAACTCAGCCCAGCGACTACTACTCATAGTGGGGCCTCCTATCAACCTCCAAGGGAACATCTGTGTCCACTTAGAGAAGTGGCAAACTGGGAAGAGGGCACTGTGAGAGTACATGTTCCCTTTTCTACATCTGATTTGCCTCTATATATAGAGAAGGTTGGTAATTTCTCTGAAGATCCAGGACAATTTATAGATAAGTTTGAGAATCAACTCTGACCTATAGTTTAACTTGGCAGGATCCGCATGTTTTGTTGTCTCTGTGTTGTACAGTGGAAGAGAAACAATGCATTTTGGGGACAACTAGGACCCATGCAGATGAGGTAGTGGCTCACAACCCGAACCATACGATATATCAGGCAGGAAGTATAGCAGTTCTAGATCAAGATGCAGAGTGGAACTATCAAAGGGGCAGTGAGAACTTGGGGAGGAGAGATCATATGGTCACTTGTTTGTTGGAAGGGATGAAGAAATGTATGAAAAAGCCTATTAACTATGAACAGGTTAAGGAAGATTCTCAGGATAAAGATGAGAATCCAGCTTTATTTCAAGGGCATTTAGTTGAAGCAATCAGGAAGTATAATATCACTGATCCTGCCTCAAAGGAAGGACAAACCCTTTTGGGAGGACATTTTATAACCCAGTCTGCCCCTGATATCCACAGGAAACTACAAAAAGCAGCTATGGGAGCCACTGTGGTGGCTCAAGCCCCTAATCACAGCACTTTGGGAGGCTGAGGCGGTGGATCACTTGAGGTCAGGAGTTCAAGACCAGCCTGGCCAACATGGCAAAACCCCGTCTCTACTAAAAATACAAAAATTAGCCGAGCATGGTGACAAGTGCCTGTAATGCCAGCTACTTGGGAGGCTGAGGCAGGATAATTGCTTGAACCCATGAGGTGGAGGTTACAGTGAGCCCAGATTGCACCATTGTACTCCAGCCTGGGAGACAGAGCGAGACTCTGTCTCAAAAAAAAAGGCAAACAAACAAACAAAAAAACAACCCACCATGTGGCTATGTGTCCCTAGACTCCTATGAAACAGCTTTTGGATATGGCATCCTTAGTTTTATAATAACAGGGGCAAAGCAGAGGAGGCAGAAAGAGGAGCAAGAAGGATCTCCCACAAGGTGTAGCTCTTGGCTACAGCCTTAAGCTCACCTCCCACATAGAGTTGCTCTCCTGGCTCTTGGACTGAACAAGGGAAGCTGAAAAGGGAAGCCCAAAGCTGGTTGTCCAAGTCAGCATGCTTTGGGCATGAATCAGTGTGCACACTAAGGAAACTGGTCATTGGAAGAGGGATTGCCCAGTCTTCCTCCAAAGGGAGTTGTTAGGTCCAGGGCCATGACTACAACAAATGTCATGCCCAGAGTTAGGGTGCACCCCTTGCTGAGGTCTGAGAGGAATGGGTGGATAGATGAATAGGTGAAAGAACACTTGGGGGACTGTAGGCAGGTGAAATGTAGTTTTATTCAGCAGCTCTCTCATCAGCAGTTCTCTCAACCCTAGCTCTTTTATATTGTTCGCCTTTATCTCGGCTGTCTGCTCTGACTCTTTGGCTCCTCTCAGCAGCTGGCTCCTATGCACAGCTGCACAACTGGCCTGCAAGGCTGGCCAGCTCTAAGATTAGTAGCTTAATCTTTCTCTTTGGGCACAAGCCAAGTCATGTCCTGGCTCCCCTCTGTCCATCCGCCAGCCAGTCATTCTCCCTTACAGGGGTCAGTAGCTTCACTCTCTTTCTGGGTACCGTGCCTGCACAAGAGCCATGTTGAGCCACGTTGAGCCCCCGTGCACAGTGTCGGCAGGGCGGTTACACCTCTTACAGATGGTAGTGGTGTAGAGCCAAGTATGAGCTTACACAAACAGGTTATATAACAAGTGGAGGTGAGCGCCTTTGCACCAGTCTCACTGAGTCATGCAGGCCTGGATATCTGCCTCGGGCTATTCCTTGACCAAAGCACATCCATGTAGCTTACAGCAGCCATCTGCACCCAAACCAGATTGTCAAAACAACCAGGCAAGCCCAAGAGTGATGGGGCCTGAGACCTTCTACTACACCTTGTCGGACAACTAGCCATATCTTCTGAGAAGCCTCAGATAACCCTTGACATGGCAGGTAAGAATATATTAACTTCCTTCTAGAATGCATACTCTGTTTTGACCCATTATAATGGGCCTTTGTCACCCCAAAACTGTATGGTCAAGAGGATAGATAGACAAGCCCATAGACGCCATTTTACCTATCCTTTAAGCTTCTCTTCAGGGACTTTGGTTTTCTCCTGAATGCCCCACCCTTGTTGGGAAGGGATTTATGAACTCAGCTGCAAACAGTAGTATGTTTTGGAAATCACAAGGCAGACAGAAATTGCTTCCTCTCCTTTCCTGTGAATACATACCAGGCTTTGCTGCTAGATGCTCCTGATATAACACTGATAAAAGTATGCCAGATTTTAATCCAGCTACCTACTTGCCAGAACCCACAGGCACCCCAGATCGTTCTTGGATACAAGTTATGGAGCAAGTTTACTCCAGCCGTCCACATTTAAAAAATGAGCCTCTGGATAATCCCGAAGGAGAATGGTTTACAGATGGAAATAACTTTGTGCACCAGGGAAACAGAAAAGCTGGGTATGCTGTTGTCAGTCAACACAAGTTAATTGACTCTCAGGCCTTACCAGCTTCTACATCACCTCAAAAGGGAGAATTAACAGCTTTTTTTTTTTTTTTTTTTGAGACAGAGTTTTGCTCTTGTCGCCCAGGCTGGAGTGCAGTGGCACAATCTCGGCTCACCACAACCTCCACCTCCCAGGTTCAAGCAGTTCTCCTGCCTCAGCCTCACAAGCAGCTGGGATTACAGGCATGCACCACCACATCTGGCTAATTTTGTATTTTTTATTAGAGATGGGGTTTCTCCATGTTGGTCAGGCTGGTCTCAAACTCCCGACCTCAAGTGATCCGCCCACCTCAGCCACCCAAAGTGCTGGGATTACAGGCATGAGCCACCGTGCCCAGCCTGAATTAACAGCTCTTAATAGATCCCTGCAATTGGGAAAGGACTTAAGAATTAACATTTATACTGGTTCTAAGTATGCCTTTCTGGCACTTCATGCTCATGCTGCTATCTGGAAGGAACGGGGCCTTCTAACTGCTAAGGGTTCCCCTATAAAACATCACTTATAAATTTGGAATCTATTGGATGCTGTTTTGCTGCCCAAGGAAGTAACTGTAATCCTTTGCAGAGGACATCAAAAAGGAGACTCTGGTGTGGCTAAGGGAAACTCTTTTGCAGATGCAGCTGCTAAGGCAGCAGCATTAAAGGAGCCAGTTGGACCTGTTGGCATGTTAGTGCCCTGAGCCATGATAATGACAGAACCTAGGTATACTGAAGAGGAACAAGAATGGGCTAAAGGTCAGGGTTTAATTCAAGATCGTTCTGGCTGGCTCATCAATGACAACAAGCTGTTACTACCAGGTGCTAATCAGTGGAAAATAGCTAAGTGTTTTCACGACTCTACTCATCTGGAAGGAGATTCCCTGTTTCAATTAATGCCCACACTTTTTGTAGGAAAAGACTTACTTAAAACGGTAAAGCAGTGACCTATGTGCCTGGAATAACCCAAATAACCAATCTACCACCTCCTCTAATAAGGCCTGTTCAGCATAGGGGAGTGTACACTG